CCTAGAAGTCGAATTGTTAGATCATCTATTTTGTTCTTTGAGGAACTGCTTATACAAGGGTTTCAATTTATCCACATCCTCACTAACACTTTTTTTGATAGCAGCCATCCTAATGGGTAAGGTGGTATTTCACTGTGACTTTCTCCTTGTCTTGTCTTGTCTTTTCTTATCCCAGCTAGAATGCAATGGCATTGATATCTCATTGTGGTTTTCTTTTTTCCTTTCCTTTCCTTTTCTTGTCTTGTCCTCCCCAGCTAAAGCTCAGTGGTATAATAGCTCACTATAACTTCTAATTCCTGGACTCAGAGGATCTTATCTCAGGCTCCCAAGTAGCTGGACTATAGGCTGCCACTCTGGACTTTCATTTTTATTTTTAGTAGAGACATGATTTTGCTCTTGTTTAGCTGGTTTCCAGAGCTCAAGTAGTTTTCCTGCCTGGGCCTCCCAGAGTGCCAGGATAACTGGCCTTATTGTGGTTTTCATTCCCATTTCCCTAGTGATTAGTGGTATTGTATGTTTTAATATGCTTATTGGCCGTTCTTCTCCAAAGAAATGTCTACTCAAATCCTTTGCCCACTTTAAATTATTTTTTTAAGCTGTAAGAGTTCTTTATGTATTCTGGATACTAATCCCTTACCAGATATATGCTTTGTAAATATGTTCTCTCATTTTGTGGGTTTTCTATACTCTTTTGACAGTATATTTTGATGCACGGAAGTTTTTAATTTTGATGAAGTCTTATTTATTTTTTCATTTATTGCCTGTGCTTTTAGTGTCATAGTAATGAATCCTATTTATCTTTTAATTTATGAGTTGCATGTATCATGGGGGAAACTTTTTGCTTATTGAGTTCAAGATCAGGCTCACTGCATATACTGCACAATTTGCAAAATACAAAGCTTTGTTCAGGATTCTTATTTTTTTTCCAGAGCCATCAGACACCCATTTTCCTTTTTTGTAATAGACATCGAATCTTTAAGGCTTATTTTCTTAATATATATTATATTCTACAGCACAAGAATTACCATAGTTCAGGTTAGAGCTCAGTATGGGTCTTCACTGTATCAGGGAAGATTTAGATGAGTGAAGATTGCTACATAGGTTGTGTTCTTGTCATTTCCTTTTTTAAAAAACAGATATGGGGCCAGGAGCGGCTCATGCCTGTAATCCTAACACTCTGGAAGGCTGAGGTGGGTGGCTTGCTTAAGCTCAGGAGTCCGAGTCCAGCCTGAGCAAGAATGAGACCCCATCTCTAGTAAAAATGAAAAACTGAGGCAGGGAGGTGCTTTTGGCTCAGTGGGTAGGGTGCTGGTCTCATATACCGAGGGTGGTGGGTTTGAACTCGGCCCTGGCCAAACTGCAACAAAAAATAGCCGGGTGTTGTGGCGGGTACCTATAGTCTCAGCTACTTGGGAGGCTGAGGCAGGAGAATCACCTAAGCCCAGGAGTTGGAGGTTGCTGTGAGCTATGACGTCATAGCACTCTACCAAGGGCGATAAAGTAAGACTCTGTCTCTAAAAAAAAAAAAAGGAAAAGAAAAACTGAGGCAAGATAATCACTTGAGCCCAAGAGTTTGAGGTTGCTGTGAGATGATGCTATCTACCCAGGTTGACAAAGTGAAATTGTCTCAAAAAACAAAAACCTCAAAAACAAACAAACAAAAAAATAGTATAAGTCACTACATAGCTTCATTATTACCAAGTACTTACTGTATGTAAAGAATATATGAAACCAACTGCTGAATTATTCTTCCTAGTATTCAGTTCTTTTTTCATAGTGAGTTTCAGGAAATAATATGTTGTAATAAATAGCACTGGTGGATAGTGGAGTTGCAAGTTCTTTGTGACTTGGAGTAAAAGGAAGCAGAAAACAAGCACATTAGTACTTAGACTTGTTCAAACCATTAGGGTTTTGATATTTTATATTCCTTGGGTTTATAGAGTCAAAAGCAGATAGATGACTTAAATTTATCTAAATTAAATATGTATGAATTCTGCATTTATTAAAGGAAAGTCTTATAGATCTTGTGATAACAAGCTACCCCAAACTTCTGCAAAGCAAAAACACAAGATTAGATGCAAGATGGAAGGGATTCTCCTAAGAATTATTACATGGGAATAGACAGAATAAATTGACAAGGCAAATTGGGCTAGTGAATGAAAAACATTTCAGAAAACTTCATTTTTCTGGGCTCTCCTTTTCTCTCAGTCTGTCTCAAAAGCCTATCAGGTCTGCCTCCTCAACAGAGCTCCAGTAGTTTCCTGTCTTCTCTTTCCATCTGCATATGCCTTGCTTTGGTTCTGTTTTTACCCCAAGATCAGAAGAACACAATGACTACATTTTTATCCTCTAGTCTTTTCTTTGTTACACTTCAAACTCCTCCTCACCACCTGGTGGCAGTGAATATGTAAATGCAGGTTTGATCATGTGATCATACTCTTGTTATTTACTATTCCCTATAGGCCCATGCTTTCAATCTTAGTTACTTTATATATCATTATGTTTCCTTTTTTTTTTTGGAGACAGGGTCTTGCCTGTTGCCTGGGCTAGAGTGCGGTGGCATCATCATAGCTCACAGCCACCTCAAACTCCTGGGCTCATGTGATCCCCCTGCCTCAGGCCCCCAAGTATCTGGGACTATAGGCATGTACCACTGTGCCCAAATAATTTTTAAAAGTTTTTGTATAGATGGGGTCTCACTATGTTGATCAGGCTGATCTTGAATGTGTGGTCTTAAGCAATCCTCTGCCTTGGCCTCCCAAAATGTTAGAATTGCAGACACGAGCCACCAACTACACTTGGCCTATAGTTCCTTTTACTCTGACCCTTGAAAACCTTGCTAGCTTCATCTCCTGCCCATTTTAGCATATTCTCCATTCCAGTTATTACAGTGTAGTGGTTAAGGTGACAGCTCTCAAGTTAGATTGTCCTGTTTAATATCCTAATCTATACATGTTATCTGTGTGCCCTTAGACAAGGTATATGCTGTGTTTAGTTATGACAGAGCAAACAACCTGTCTTAATAGATGAGAATAGATGATTCATGAAAATAGATGATGGCAGTAATCAGTTGGTTCTGGTGTGTACCAGGTAAATATCCATTTTGTCCATGCCTTAGTTTCTTTATCTGTGAAATGGCTATCATAAACATAGTTTTATTGTGAAGATTAAGTGTGATAATTTGTGCAGTGTTCTTAGATCAGAGACTGGCTTAGAGGAAATCTTTAGTAAATGGTGGCTATTCCTATCTGTACTATTATCCACAACGCTTTAAGCAACATGTCCTTCATGCTTCTTTATTTAACTTTTAACATAAAAGCTCTTTCCTTCTTCTTCCCTATTCCTATAATCCCATCCTTACTTATACCACAACTACCAGTTTGATCTATATAATGATTAAACGGAGATATTTTGTAAATTTAGAAAGTTGAGTTATATAATCTGCAGATAGTCTTTATAGGTTTTTTTTTTTTTATTTGTTTGTTTTTGAGACACAGTCTCACTTTGTTGCCCTCAGTGGGTGCAATTGCATTATCGCTCACAGCAACCTCAAACTCTTGGACTCAAGTGATTCTCTTGCTTCAGCCTCCCATGTAGCTAGGACTACAGACGCCTGCCACAATGCCTAGAGATGAGGTCTTGCTCTTGCTCAGGCTGGTCTCAAACCAATGAGCTCAGGCAATCTACCCACTTTGGCTTCCTAGAGTGCTAGGAGTCTTACAGTTTTTTTGATTTATGCAGAAAGGGAAGGCAGAGAAAAAGAGAAGGAAAATCTGTTAAGTTAGGTGTGCTCATGATAGTTTTAAGTGTTTATCTCGCGGCATTGTTTCTGCCTTTTGTAAGAGTTGTTTAGGTTTTAGCTTTCTTTGTCCCTGAGATCAGGGCTACTGCATAAACTACCTAAGCTATTCAATGCAGCAGCCTGTTCAGAGGCTCAGAGGTATGCTGTTGCACACTGTCACCACTTGGTGGTGGTGTATGTTTCTATAATGCAAAAACAGCATTTGGTGAGATACCAGAAAAAAACCTTTGAAGAGAATATTTGCATAGTCATTAGGAATTGCTATCTATTTCATTTACTCCTAAAGGGCATTTTATTATTTTTTTATTCTTATTTGGCTCATAAAATGTAAATTTTATGTATTCAAATAGATTTTATTTTATTTAATTTATTTATTTTTGAGACAGGGTCTCACTATGTCACCCTTGATAGAGTGCAATGGCGTCATAGCTCACAGCAACCTCAAACTCTTGAGCTTAAGTGATTCTCTTGCCCCAGCCTCACGAGTAGCTTGGACTACAGGCACCTGCCACAACACCTGGCTATTTTCTTGTTGCAGTTGTCATTGTTGTTTAGTAGGCCTGGAATGGGCTTGAACCCACCAGCCTTGGTGTATGTGGCTGGTGCCCTATGAACTGAACTACAGGAGCCAAGCCCAGCAAATAGATTTTAAATTACAGGCTGAGTGACAAAAGGGAAAAAATTAAGTATTGATAGGTATTAATGAAAGATCGGGGCGGTGCCTGCGGCTCAGTAAGTAGGGAGCTGGCCCCATATACCAAGGGTGGCGGATTCAAACCTGGCCCCAGCCAAACTGCAACCAAAAATTAGCCAGGCATTGTGGCGGGTGCCTGTAGTCCCAGCTACTCAGGAGGCTGAGGCAAGAGAATTGCCTAAGCCCAGGAGTTGGAGGTTGCTATGAGCTGTGATGTCGCATCACTGAGGGCGACAAAGTGAGACTGTCTCTTTAAAAAAAAAAAGATCAGATATCTATTTTATATAATTTACATGAATTGTATTTATACTGTTATAATAATCCAGTATTCTCTTTATCTAGTTTCAAAATACCAGGAATGAACTCTTAAATATTAATTGATGTTAGGAAGAATGCTTTGACTATAGTATCCCTGACTAAGTAATAATTTTAATCTTATAAAATTCCAGGTTTGTAGTGTGTATGATTATAACAATTATAAAATCTTTACGCTGTTTCTTTCAGGTGAAATTCCCAAGCAGGTTAAAGTGAAAAAATTGAAGAACCTAAAGACTCTGGATTCTAAACCTGGTATTGACTTTTAATGTTAATATATTAATTTTTTTTTTTCTTTTTTGGCCAGGGCTGGGTTTGAACCCACCACCTCTGGCATATGGGGCCAACACCCTAACGTTTTGAGCCACAGGTGCTGCCCTATTAATTTTTCAATATATACTTATATGGGTACTTGGGTTTTTCTCTTAACTTTTTCTTCTTTACTTCTTAGGAGTTTATACCTCTTATAAGCCATATCTGAATAGAGATGAAGAGATCATAAAACAATTACAGAGGGTAATTACTTTCTCACATTATTAGTTTAAATTTTCTTATTCAAGTATGTATTTCATTAGGCAGTTTTTGCTTTCTGTATAGTAATGTGAAATGGAGTTTCTTTTTTGAACCAAAGCTTCATAAAAATCAGGAGAAGTAGCAGCAGTTATGAGCTTGAATATTGGGGCTGCAGCTATACAGATAGCTTGTTTTTCTAGAAATTTGGGAGTAATAGTGAAAGTGTCATATATTCTACTATGAGGTAGCTTAACATTTAACAGTAGGGGATAGTTAACATTTTTTAAAAATGTAAATAGTATTAATATAGCAAATATGAAATAAAGATCATCTTGTCTTCATTGAGTACTGATATTTAAAAATATGATATGGAACAGTGTTCCTTAAACTAAAGTGTCTTATGCTTTGCTCTAAAGATTCTTTTTACAGGATATTGCACCATGAGCTTCAAATTAAATTATTTTAAAATTAAGCTCTATTTTTTATATCAAGTATAAATATATTTACATCGTAGTTAAACTTGATAAATATCCATTGTTTTATATTCTCACTAGAATATAGGTTTCATTGTTTACTCTTTTCAGGGTGTACAACAGAAACGTCCTTCTGAGGCTCAAAGTGTTATTCTCCGTAGGTACTTTTTGGAACTGACACAAAGTTTCATCATTCCATTAGTAAGTTAACAAATACATGTTTGCTTAATTTAATAATTGTTGAAGGGTATATGAATTTTTTCCTATGCTAAAAAGCCTTGTGGGTTTTGCCTGCCTAGTGTTTAAAAGTAAAGCCCTTGGCTTGGCACCTGTGGCTCAAGCGGCTAAGGCGCCAGCCACATATACCTAAGGTGGCGGGTTCGAATCCCCAGCCCGGGCCAGCCAAACAACAATGATGGCTGCAACCAAAAAATGGCCTGGCGTTGTGGCGGGCGCCTGTAGTCCCAGCTACTTGGGAGGCTGAGGCAGGAGACTTGCTTGAGCCCAGGAGTTGGAGGTTGCTGTGAGCTATGATGCC